TCTCTGACTCTCTCTGACTCTCTCTGTCTCTCTGTGACTCTCTCTGTCTCTCTCTGACTCTCTGACTCTCTGAGTCTCTCCGAGTTTCTTTCAAGATGGGCGGCCTGCCTGCTCTGTGATGGAAGGCAGCCACTGGAGCCATGTGCTCGACTGCCAGCCCTGAGCCGAGTGACTCCCAGAGCTCCCCCTGCAAAAGGCTGCTTTGAGCCGAGGTGTTGCCCTGACCAGTGGGATGCAGAGCTTCACCATCGACAGCTGTTCTTTGAGCCTCGAGGTCCTTTACAAGGCCACGGCAGCAGCTTTCGTCACCCACGGCATAGGGACTGCAGAGATGTCTCGGGGAGGCGATGGTTTACATCGAGGATGGAATGGCCGAGAACGACGGCAGCTTTGCAGCGGTGGACGTGATGGTGCCCTCGAATGGCCACTGGGCGCTGAGAGTAGACTTTGTTGGACGTGCCTCTGCGCCTCGGTGTCCCTTTTTCGGGGCGAGGCACGACGAATGCCTTCTCGGCATACCCGAAGCTGGTCTCCATCGCCGGCGCCGTGGCTTTGGCCTCAGATCCGTAACGGCCTCCGATTGAAAGAGAGCTCGCCGTGGCCTCAGGCCAGCTCCGATGGGGTCACCTTCACCGTGACGGCAAGGGGGCCCAAAAGAAAAGCAGAAAGCAGAGAAACTCCTCCCTTTGCTTCCGCAAGTTGGGATCTAGGCTTCTGAGCAGTCTAAGCCCTCTCTCCCTTTCTCCTGAGGCCTCCGGCATGGATGGCCGGCTCTGGGCCATGGTGGTGCCGGACTACGTGGAGAACTGCATGACCGTCAGGAGCGGAAGCACGCAGAGCGAAAGCGGCGACGAGCAGACCTCTAGTCCTTTGCGCTTCGCCCCCTTTCAGCCGCAGGGCAATGAAGTTCCTGCGCGATGCACTCTGCAGCCGCTGGTGCGCCCCCACCCTTTTCCGGCCGTCGCCCGTGCAGTCGGGGCCGTCTTGAGCATGCCAGGAACTATGCCATCAACGACCAGCCGCAGAGCATCAGCATCATGGGTTGCAATCTGAAAGGCAATCGAGCACACTCGCCCGGGGCACCCGGCATGTGCGCATTGGCCCTCCGATGCAGGTGGTGACACCTATCGCCTCTTCGTCTACGTCGAGGCGCTGTCCCTGCGGCAAGCTGCACGTTCAACGCAGCCTGACCACAGACAACGTCTTTGTTGTGGCTGTCATAGCTCCGTACCCAGCATGAAGTTCTCGAACCGCCTTCTCGGAATCGGCTGTTTACACAAGCACCAAAACGTTCCCCCTCCACCCGAGCTTGCTTGACAGCTTTAGCTGTGTGAACTGCGCAAACACCCACCACTCCTCAAAAACGCCCATAGCATCCACTAGCTGTCATAGCTCCTTTCTCAGCAGCCCAAGCAACGAAATCCCCCAACACCAAAGCTGCTGAAGTGCATGCCACCTTTGCAGCTCTCGTTATGTGCACGCGTGTAGCTTTTCTCTGATCTCGTAGTCCAGTTTGAATGCTTTTGAAGGCCGTATTGAAGAGGTGCCAGTTTAGAAGCGCCTGAAGTTAATGCATCTTTGGCTGCCGCTGCGCTCTCCAGCGTCGGCAAAGGTTGGCGTTAAGCCTAAGAAGGGCAGCGGCGACTGAGCTGAGGGATGTCTTCAGTTAAGACTATTCAATTATTATAGTTATTTATTGTGCGTCATCTCATTCATGGCTCAAGCGCGCAACATGTCGGCTGTCGAACTGCAGGCGTGGATGAAAGCTGTGATGCGGTTCCAAGTTGCGTGATGCCGGAGTCTCCTCGATGTGAAAAGGCCAAGATCCTTGAGCTTGCGGAGGCACTGGCGGAGTCCTGTCACTCGTCTGCAAAACGTTGCACTTATTGCGGGCACCGATGGGGCCCCCCTAGGTAAGGAAGCGGAAGGGAACATGCGCGCCCAAATCCTGTCATCGTATCTCCGAAGTGATGTGGTGAGACGTATACAATAAGGGGCGCCCACCCCCACTTCTACACCTTCAAGCCGTAACTCTGACTCCAACGTTTGGAGAGCTTGTTGCAGATGCTCTGCCATGGTGAAGCTCGGCATTTGCAATACATTTCGCAACAAACTGCCAAGATCATGTCGGGTACAGGAAATGGTTCCACTGAAATGAGCCCAGGAGGGTCGCATCACCCTTGCGACGTGAAACGCAAGAAGACAGCAGTTTTGGCAACACGGCACTTGCGCATAAGATACACTTTAAAGATCTCATTGGCATTTGTTGTCAGGAATTTCCGCGTGCCCAGCAGGGGACGGCTTACTGAAATCAGAACGTCAGAAACATGAACCTTGGTGTCAAATCATTTGTCAGCAGTGGCGTGGAGGTCGACGGGAATCGTTCTGCAATGACTCCCGGTTCCCAGCCCCCCCGTTCCGTAGGCCTCTGAAGCACCCTCAAGTCAACAAGAGCGCTCCTGTCCAGCTGCTGGTGCCCGCAGGCCTGCGCGCTGCATTCGCACCTGACCCATTCCATAAACTGGCTCGTGTCATTTGCGAAGTCAGCTCTTTGCGTGAGCAGGTGGCCGTCGATGTGGCGTGGCAGAGATTGAGTCACCAGAAGTAGATTTGCGTTTTGACATGCGCGTACTGCACGTGCTGCACTAGTCACTCGTCTCGCAGGTGGATTCCGGCTTTGAAATCTGCACTCGCGCCACTGCCTCCGCTGCATTTATCATGATCGTCCTGCTTCATGTCGCTGAGGTGCCAGCTCCAGCAACGACACCGCCAAGCAATGAGCCAGGCGCAGGTGCTTCCGGCAATGATAACAAGATCCGTAATTCTAGTCAAACGCCGTTTGGGTTTTTCCCCCGGTCCCTGGCACTCTTGACCTTCAGCGCTCAAAAAACGCACCGAGATGCATCCACCATCTTCACCACCGCCTTCTCCCCCTTCGGGCGAGCAAGCCCGGACATCTTGTGGTGGCAATGGAAAACCTAAACCTTGTAGTAGGTCACGTTGCTCCTTTTTGCACTTGTTCGCACAGCCCACAGTGAAAGCCGTCACCGTAATACGAAAGCCCTGCCAAGGAAGGGGCTGGTGTAGCTGGCATGGGTCAAACACAACAGTCTTGTGGTAGGTAGGGTAGCGACGACCAGGAAGCCAGCTTCCACCAACTTTGTGCCAACTGACATTGTCCCTGGAATCACCTCCAGGTTCGTGGCACCAAAGGGCCCCACCCACATAGTTGCCGAGTCCGACCAGGGCTGCCTGCTCACCTTGTTGGTTGTTGAAGTCTTTGTGGCACTGCATTGGCGTGTTGAAGTTGAGAGACACGGTAGTAAATGTAATTGCAGGATCCAAACGTTGCTTGAGTGCTTCCACCAAACACCTTGTCAAACATGGTCGAGTCTTGGCCAATGTAGTCGCACCCACCACACCACCATGGCGAAACATCCCAAACGCATGCACCGACACCTGAGGGGCATCACCAGGTAGCTCCGCGCGTCGATTCGGAGCGACACACCGCTTCAAGTGTAGTCCGTCCAACAGCTTCTCCAGCGCCTCCATGGAGAAATCCCTCACCTCCAGAAAAGCCGCTGCCTCCTTTTCATCCCGAGCCACATTCTCATCGTCACTTGCTGGACCTTGTGGTAGAGGCTCGCTTCCATCCAGCTCCGCCCTTGCAATGGACGTCTTTCCATGCAATCTTCTTCTAACTCCAGGTGCATCTGCTCGAGCGGGTGGAGCATCCACCTCAAAGTCGCCAGAAACCTCCTTGACGTTCTCCACAGCCACCATTGTAGTGAGGTAGCTGCCCTCCTCCGTTCGGACCAACAAACCACGGGTAACATCCATAGAGGGGCATAGCACCTTGGCCGCAACCACCTTCTCGACAAACTCCTCCTTTCGAAGCTCCCAGGATCTCTGCTTGACGAACACCTTGGTACGGTCCTCACTGCATTCTTGGCTCGCCCCACCAAAGCCTCCACCCTGCCATTAGCTCGATAGTCATCACCCGGGGTAGTAGTACGAACCAAACCACGGTCTCGACATAGAGCTCGAAATCCTTTGCTGACAAACTCCCGACCGCGGTCGGAGTGCACGCGCTGCACTGTCAAGCCCAGCTTCTTCACCTGCATCAAGATGTCCTTGGTGGCTGTCAACACCTCCGAGGAAGACTTAGAGGCCAAAGTGACCACAAAAGGCACCTCCACGCATGATACACCCTCCAACTTGTCCCTCTTGACACGAGCCTCCCATCTCTCCATTTCACGACGGCTTCTTTCCTCCTCCGCCGCTGGTGGTAACTCCGCCTCCTCATCCGCGTGATAGCCCTCCTCGTAGATCGGATCATCCGTGAGGAGCGGCCCAACTCCAGCGCCACCATCCACACCGTCGGGATCAGGAGGTTGAAGTAGCTTGCCCAGCATATCTGGCACCACAAGCGTTCCCACCAAAGCGTAGCGGACCTTCTTGACATACTCGTCGGTGCCCTGTCGGGTAGGTCCAATAACATCCAAGCTCAGGCACCAAGCTTCAGGCGACACGATCCTCCGGTGAGCATGTCCCCGAAACGCCCCAGCCAAGCAAGCTTTGCAATCACGTCTGAAAGGGGTGTGGTCCCTTCGAAGATGATCCAAGAAAGCATGGTCCAACTTCATGATTTTCTCCAGTGCGGAGCCCGCCAAACTCCCTTCCACAACGTTCTTGACAACCTGCTTCAAACCCGGAGCCCATGCCGCCCAGGTAGCCGACCGAAACCCATCTCCATCTCCTTCACGTTCATCCTCGGTCACAGAAGAGGGTCCCCGAACTTCACAGACCTCCTTGGGGCATGGAACCGAAGCTAGCACTCGCGTAGGCTTCCTCCGAGGATGCCCGAGAGGACCTTGGTCAAACTTCCGCCACCACCACTTCATCTCATCCTTGAGGAACTGAATCTCAGGAATGGCCCACAACGAAGTCATGTTCTCGCCCTGGAGGAACTCGTGAGGGTCCTCGGGGTGCTCCAGGATAAAGTCTGGCTCGTCGCTGCCACCATCCACAAGAACACCATCCTGAAAATCATGATGGTATCCTGGCGAACTCGCCAGGTCTCCCACTCACTGAGGCCATCGCGGCCCCACCTTCCATCACCATCACGATCCCGAAGAGGACGAGGCCCATCCCCGACTCCAAAACACGGTTGCGCAGTGCAGAAAACGTCCTGCAAGGTGGGCCGCCAAACGCCGCCTTGAGCTTGCCTGACAGGGCCACATCCAACAAGGCGGCATAGGTTGCATCCGCCATCACATCCTCCGCTTGATCCACCGTGATCACATGAGCCACTTCTGCCCTTGACTTCCACGTCGCGCGGTCCTTTCCACAGAACAAGTGCACAGCCAACGAGGTGGCCTTCCTCCACTTCTTCCTCTCATGACGATTCCAAGAGACCCGATCGCCATTGGTTCCCGCCACCACCGGGATAGCTGAAACCAGCCAAGAAGGGGCCTCCGGGAAGGCCTTGTGCAACCGCGCCCAAGACAGCCCCACACCGCTGTAGAGGTCCTTGGTGGCCTTGGTGCCCAACTCCCAATCCATCTTGCCAGATCCACGCTCCTGGCGCTCACACCCCTCCACGAGGCGATTCACCGCCAACTCAGCTTCACGTCGTCTAAGCTTGGTGGCCTCTGCCTCCGCGATCAACTCCAAACCAACGGCCTCATCAACCTCGGGGCAGCCATTCACCACGCGAACACCCAGGTCACCCTTGAGCGGGTGGGTCACCGCGCAACCTTCGCTGCTGCACCATGTGACCCGGCAGCCAATCTCCATGAAATCACTCATAGCCACAATAGGTGCCGTTCTCTTAGTGGTAAGAAGCGTCCCACCTGGCAACTGGAAGAACGAAGTTTCCCCCTCCGCCAACAGCACCGTCCTCAAAGGAAGCCCCTGGGCCTCATTTCCACATGCCGTTCTCATAGAGGTCGTGGCGCCTGAGTCGACAAGAGCCCTGCCCCCATTTCCAGAAGAACTCTGCAAGGCCCGCAACGTGAGCTTAGCCAACCTCAACGACTTCAAAGCTTTGGTGGCCTCTTCAAAGAACTCCACCCTTGCCGAATTGTCACCGCCTCCAGAGGTCGAAGCAGAAGCACGAGCCGCCTCCTCACCGGCGGGCTCCTCCTCTGACTTTCTCACAGCCTCCATTGGCCCACGATCTTTTCCTCCACCTTTCTCCCCTTTCTTTCTGGGCCTCCGTGCAGGCTTCTCCTCCGCACTTGCCCCAGTCGTACCTGACGTAGCTGCCGTAGACGACGAAGAATTTGATCCCGCAGCTTGCGTGGGACCACCCGCTGAAGCTCCACCAGAGCCTCCCTGAGCACTGCCTTTGCCTCCGCCACCATTGGAAGCCTTCCCCCCTTGCCCGAGCAACGGGCGCTGTGGCTTCAAATGCGACTCGGAGCCACACTCCCAGCAGCGGCCAGGGCCCAAGGGCGCATGAAGAAAGAGGCAGTTGGATCCAAAGCGACATCCCGTGCCGTCTCCACCCCCAACAAGGCTTTTCACTCTTGCCTTTGCCCTTGCCTTTGCCCTTGTCCTTGTCCGCGTTATCATGGTTTCCACCATGACCATCCAAACGGGCCACCTTTGGCTGGGATGCAGGAGGCTGTGACAACTGTGCCGCCTCCAACTCACCAAGGATCAAGTACGCGTAGTCCTCAATGTCCACAGCTGTTGCCCGATACTCCAGCTGACGCTCCAGCTTGAATGAGGCAATCCGGAAGGAGGCCGAAGGATGCTTGCTGGCAGACCCCAAAAAGGTAGCACCGATCAGCTTGTCCAGCCCACGGCACAATAGGCTCGGATCCGGCAAAACCACTTGCAACTCCCGGCCTCGACATAAAAGCCTGATCCACTTGCGCGCCAGGCTCAGGGTGTTCTCCAAGCCATTGCCCGTCTCCGGCACCGTAAGAAACTGCAGCAACTGCGCTTTTTCGCCTGCCCCACCTGGCTGGTAAGCGCAGTGCACCATGAACACCATAGCCTCAGCCGTCACCGCGCGAGCACTGATTGCTTCATGCCTCAGCTCCTCTGGCAACGCATCCAGCAGCAGCATCGCTGCCCTCTGCTCCACACGATGATGCCGGTCAGGAGGAGGACGACGTGTAAGCACCTGCTGACGGATCGTCAAACGCGCCACGCGAGCGCTCTCCAGCCAAAGACCATAAAGATCTTTAACCCTTTCCATCAAAGCCGACCGCCACCGCGCCGCCGTAGAGGACAAGGTACTCATACTGGGCTCCAACTGAGCCAGCCAGTCTCCCGCAATCACCGCTGCATCTCTGCCTCTGGCCGCCCGAAGTAGCGGCAGCTTGGTGACAAGTTTCGAGGGCTCTTCCACCTCATCTCCATAGCTTGCGCTCGTAGTCGTTGAAGTCGTCAGCGGCGGTAGAGTAGAAGGAGGTGGAGGAACTGGTGTCCCCCCTGGGGTGACATTCGCACTCCAACTCGGTGTTGAGGCCTTGGGAGTAGATGGTGGATTCGGGGGTGGAGGCGGCGCACTACCAAGTGCCAGACCACCTGCTCGATCTCCTCCGACACCGCAAGGTAGAGCCCACACTCGCACCACCACCCGTCAGCGGTTGCACCGCCATGTGACCACCAATCATCTGATACTCCCTCCACACTCCATCCACCATCACCAAACCACTTGGAGCAGCATTCATCACCAAGCCACTCCCACGTTGAACATTTCCCACCTCCACCGGTGGATGCAATCCCGCCACAGACACTGGAGACCCTTGCAAGGCATCCCCCCTTCCTTCAGGCACCGCCGACGTAGTCCTCGAGCTCATCACGACGCCACTGGGCAGCACGGGCCTCACCTCAGCGTCCGTAGTCTTAGAGTCTAGCAGAGGAGGATTGGGCCCGGGAGTAGGTGAGGAAGTAGTAGACGCCCCCCTGGTCCCGAAGCATGGTCTTTCGCAGACTCCATCCATCTCTTGGCCCTCATCCTGACGTGGCTTTTCACTCCCAGCACCCCGCCCTGCTGCTTGCTGAGCCTTCATGACTGCTGCACGGTAGCCTCGCTGTGCGCCCCTGGATGCTGCACTCCCACGGTAAGACCTGCAGGCACACTAGACGGAGACACCCTTTGCAACTCGGTAACCTGCTTGCTGGGACGAAGACATTCGTTGGGACTCCATAGCCTGCTGAAGCTCGGACATTCGTTGGGACTCCATAGCCTGCTGAAGCAAGGACATTCGCTGGGACTCCATAGCCTGGTGAAGCAAGGACATTCGTTGGGACTCCATAGTCTGTTGAGGCTCTGACATTCGTTGGGACTCCATAACCGGCTGAGGCGAGGTCATACTCGATGCTGAACCACACCCCAACGCAGTAGTACTTGGATCTCCATACAGCAAAACAGGCCAGTTCGTGTCTGCCAGCGGCCCCAAAAAGACGCCCAGGTACACCTCGCTCCCCTTCGGCTGCCCTCCGACGCGCTGTTTCACTATCATCACTGCTGAAGGTCCCAGCCATCACTTTCTCCAACGAGGCCAGAGGTCGTTGAAAACCAGATTCCTGCCCATGCTGTCCCATAGACACCTGACTCAGCTGCTGCTGCAAGCGATCAACTTCATCTAGACCCAAAAGTCCAGGTGCTCCAGACCGTGCAGTCGCCGGAGTCATAGCAGACGGTGTAGGTAGAGAGCCCTCCTCGGTGCTCATTGGAGCGTGGTCTCTCACTGATCCACTCGCCGACTGCCACTGCTCCATGCGGTCCACCCTTCCCACAAGGGTACTCAGCAGACCAGTCATAAAATTCAAGGACCTTGAAATCTGGCCCACATCCTCCTCGCGTCGCTCCATCGACCTGGCGCGAACCATAGCAGGATCTTCCTGCCCTGCTCCATGATCTTCACGAACAAGTAGTCTCGGCTGCTCCCTGGAAGAAATCAGTGCGGGCTGCCCATCAGAGGTGGAATCTAACTGCGTGGCAGAAGACTCCACTTGATTTCCCTGGCTTCCGTGCTCCGCAACTGCTCCTTCCACAGAAACAACCTCACGCTGACCCACTTCGTACTGAGGATCCTGCAGTTGCTCATCGATGCGAACCTCTTGAAGATGTCGTCTTTCCTCCCCCGACGCCTCCTCTTGCAGGACCTCCCCCAAACCCCTCAGCCCTTCCACCTCAACACCGCCGGCTGAGTCTGCCATGGCTGAAGGATTTACGTGAGCGTTGGGCTCATAACCCTCGAAGCGGAACGCCCTATCTTTTTGCTTTCTAAGCCTTAACAGCGTCGTAAGTACATGTCACGTGCAGCGATACGGACCCACAAAAGCCCAAAGGTTGTCGATTTTGCAGAGTCCGCTCCTTTTGCGGAAGCCATTTCCGAGGCCCGTTGTGGATTTGTTGGATTTCCGGCCGCTCCTTTTGCGGAAGCCATTGCCAAGGCCTCTGTGAATTTCCTGGATTTCCGGCCTCTGGGACCGCCGAAATTGAGAGAACCCCACAAAGCCCAACAGTTGTCGATTTTGTAGAGTCCGCTCNNTTTGCGGAAGCCATTTCCAAGGCCCGATTGAATTTCCTGGATTTCCGGTCTTGGGACCGCCGAAATGGAGGAGTTGTCGATTTTGTAGAGTCCCTTCCTGAAGCCATTTCCAAGGCCGCTGTGGTTTTGCTGGATTTCCGGCCTCTGGGAC